GTGTTTAAGCAAGCTGTGGCATTTAATACCATAAAGCTGAGGAAGAAACTAAATCTGACAAGAGACTCTCAGAGGAACAATCAAGCTAGCTACTTCTAATTAAGACTAGAACATTGTGTAGCACTGTAAAATAAACATCAGGGCCAGTGCCCAGTTTTTGGGAGGCTTGGAAGCTGGGACTCAGCCTGGCACACAGGCAGGAAGAGGACCTCGTTCCATTCCAGCCCTTGTCCCTGCCTCTGGGGGAAGGCCCAGGGTCTCCAGCTCCCTACTCCAACCCAAAATAGCAAGTGTTGTGTCCCTGTGCTCCATATTTCCAGGCAGGTGGTTCCAGGGATGTACTATTGCCACTGTTTGAAGAATAATAACAGTCTTGTGGGGACAGCAGCACCATGAAAGTCTGGCTTTTGGGACAGAGATATGTCAGCAGTACATGCATGAATCCTCACACTCTTCCTTCATCCTTCTGCAAGAGTGGCAGGGAAGCAGGCTCTGTGCCCAGTTGTCTTGTCATCTCTCTAAGTGCACTGTTTCCAATGTGAGCAAAGGGAGATCAAAGAAAGCATCCAGAATGGAAATTGTTTATGTGTTTCATGATTCTAAACCTTGCCATTGGGGTGGGGGGAAGGTTCTAATTACAACTGCTTTTTAATTAGGGATTTTGCCATTTCATCTCCATTAATTGGAAGAGTTACCACAAGTGCACCTACTTGTATTTTGAAAAAGCTCCTTGTCATGGTCATGCTCCCAGCATTTGAACTCTGGCCTTGTGGGCAGCCCAGGAGACACATGTACCCCTGTGGCTCACTTGGTTTTTACTGAGCAACTGGCCCAGAATGGACAGACAGATTGGGTGTATAAAGGAAGAGGAATAAAAATGATCTCTACAAAATATACCAGGCAGTCAGTCAATGTTCAGAATCTGGGCTGATGCTGACAGTGACTGAGGATCCATTTGCTGGCTGTGAGCTGCTGGCAGAGCAGAGGCTGTCTGATGGGCTTATGGACTCCCCAGAACAGGAGTGCTGCTCCATAGACCTTTGTCACTTTTGTCACTATTTTTCCCTTAACTCTCATGAACCCCATTTGTGTCTGCAGGTCAGTAAACAGGACTGCCTGTCTCTGGCTTCAGAGCTAAGTAAACAATATCAATTATGTTCTCATGGACTTAAGACCAGTCTAGAACTTATAGAATTGTTTTATCTTACTGAATATATACATCAGCATCATACAAACTTTGCTGTCACTAGTCAAATAAAACCATAGCCAAAGGAACAATCAGGAATTTCCAGAAGAGGCTGTTTGAGATCACTGTTCAGGAAGAACAGTGACTCTGACTTCACATCTTTTTGCAGATTCAGTAGGGGTCACAGGAATCAATGAAGGTTTTTTTACTGCAAGGTAAACTGACCATAGTATTGGAGGGGTATGACATTTTCCAGATTGGTGTTTGAATAACATTTAGAACAATTATGTTGAGATCCAAGCTATTTGTAACAGTGTCCAGATGGTATTCTGTGATCACTACAGAGAAGTCTCTTCTTCCAGCAGGGAACATATTCCATTTGCTGTGAGAGAGGTGCATGCCAGGCAAGGATAAAAATGGATAGGCAGAGCTAGCTACTGTCAGGTGATAGGCTTTTTTATGGGTTGTAAGTAAACCTTTCAACAGGAAAAGAAATTATTTTCAGGTTGCTGCAAGGATAGTCTAGACTAAGAAAATCAAAGCAAGTCAACATCATTTTGCCTCTGACCTGAAAAAGAAGAGAGGACTGCCTTTGAGCAGCCAGATGAGTATTCACAGCAGCAATCTGAGCTTTGAAGCTTATTTCTATTTAGAGGCAGACAAGCAAGGCTTGTATGAGGGAACTGAGAGCTGAGTGTGACTGACTAAGGCGGGAATGAACAAAAGGTGTGATGTGGGGGTTGTAACAGACTTTGCTAGTAATTTTGCAATGACCTTACATTCAAGTTTTTCAGTCAAACAGTTGACTGTTATATTGATTGTTTATATTGATTTTATATACAAGAAGGTAATTGTCTATTTTTTGCTTTTTGGTTAGGATGTGGTATTAGCTGTGCCTTGGCTTCAAACCTTTTTGATATCTTCATGAAAATGATACTTTCCCTCTTTATGTGCCTCAGGATCTGTAAAATCACAGCTGTTTGAAATGCAGTGTCAGTGTTTCAAGCACAGAAAAGGAGTGAATTCTTAACCCAGTTTTGGCCAAGAAATTAGACAACAAAGCTCTCAGAGTAGCTCACAAACACAAGACCCTTTGGCTTTATTTCCTGAATTCTGAAATAAAGTAAAAAATGTTTTACTCTTCAGAATAGCACTTAAGCCACATAATCTCTCAATCAAATGATCTTACGCATAGAAAGATCATATATCAATACGGCTTTTAGGCTGACCCTCCTGTTCCCCCAGCTCAGAGCATAGATAATGCAAAAGTCCTGGGTGGCTGCTTCCATCCATCAGGACATTGCCATCTTCTCAAATCACTTTCAGGCTGGGAAGGCAAGTATCTCTTTGTCCATCTGCACATGTTATGTTGGTGACTGCAGACAGGCCATGGTATATGGCTCTCCACAGTCCCACTGCACTTCATGCACAAGAAATTGTGCAGCTATAAGGAAAAATGGAATTGCTCTCTATAGACATCAACAGCTTTTTTTAAAGTGGTCAGAAATGTCCATCTTCAATTCTTTGCCACCCACTGAAGATCTACTCCTGTTTTCTAAATACTAAAACACAAACTACTCACAAATCTGCTCTTTCCTTGTAGTCTGCTCTAGGCATTGCCTTTCCCTGAGTGGCAGAATACCTTTCATTTTTTTATTTGATCACTTTTGCTCTTTTGACACAAATCTTTCCCTGGCATGCTTTATTGTGACAGTTCCTAATATAGCTGTGCCTAAGGAGAAAAATTCCAATAGCAGAGGTACTGATTGCTGCATTAACAGTTTCATATCCATTTTTCTGGGGCAAAAAATAGAAAAATTCATCATCCATCATGTGCTATTACAGTGGAAGTATGCATGCCACACATGGAAAGCATTTAGTTTCTCCTTTGCAATGAATTTAATGGATGCAAGACCACACCTTGAGAAAGAGAAGAAAAAGAAGTAATTATGGGCACTACATATCCTATTAAATTTCTCAAAAAGAGGCCCCAGAGAAGAAAATGACTTCATGTAAGAAACTGGATTAGCATTGACATAATTTATTACCTTAATAAGATCAGCATTTATACATAAGGACAGGTAAATATTGACTAGGAAAACAGACCCTGATAAGCAAATCAATCTGTTTCTCACTCAGGAATACACAGGAATTTACTAGCTTAATAGTGCTCAGTTTTTCAGACTCAAAGACTTATGTGCTCTGGTGTATCCTAAATGAGGACATGCCCCCATCCCTCCTCCCCAGTAAATAATTCAACAACAACACACACACACTGAAAAAAAAAAAAAGAAAAAAGAAAAAAAAAAGGGAGAAAAAACAAAAAAACCAAAACTAACAACACAACAACCAAAAAGAAAGGATACCTCTTATTCCTGGAGGTTCCCCATGGAACAAGAACTGTCATGGGTGTTCATTTCACAGACTTATGAACATTTAGCCATCCATCACTGCCATCCACAAAGCACTGTTCAACTGTCATGGGTGTTCATTTCACAGACTTATGAACATTTAGCCATCCACAAAGCACTGTTCAGAAGATCAATTTATTTCCATCTTTTCTCTGCATTTAACTAGAAAATGCAACAGGAGGAGCTCTGATTTTGTATGAATGGCCTTTTACAATCCAAATGTGTCTTTTGAAGCATGCATTTAAATCAGATAGATATTAGAGGACATTTGGGAACACATTTCCATGTGCCCCTGAAAGGGAAAACAATGGTACAGTCTGTACTGCCTAATCTCATAGAAAAGTTCTTGTCATCCCAGACCAGATGACAAGTGGTGACCTCTTAGATTCTTCTAATTCCTTGAGTGCAGGACTCCCCAGTGAGCAGAGTGAGGCAGGGTGGGGAAGAAAGATGGTGGATTTTTCTGAATTTTGTTTTGTAGTCTAAGTCCCTGCATTTTGTGACCTCTGAAATTGCTTGAGGGAGAAAATGGAGTGGCAGAGCTGCTATTCCTAAAGAAGCATTGCCCTAAAGAAGCATTGGAGTCACTTTAAACAAAGAATCCAGCTGACTGACCTGACAGATGCTCCATCCAAAGAATAGACAGCCATTTTTTCAAAAGCATGGAAATGCTTGTGACTAAGAGAATTACACAATTTGTTGTTTCCTTTCTCTCCCCTGTCAATGCAAACTGGCAGCCAGGTAATCTTGGTTACTTCAATTTTGGAGTGTAGGATATTGCTAAAGAGGGTTATAAAGCATTGAACAAAGAGTAGCAACCTATTAAAATTTTGCTTGCAGAGTCATAGGTGGACAGTACCAGCCTTGGATCTTTACCCCAAATAATATCCTTCTAACAAACTTTTCATAGAACTGCTGGGACTTACCATGTCCATTGGCAAGCCCTTTTCATGGTACCCTGGAGTGGAGGTCTTTAAAAGACATCTAAAACTTTCAGCACCTGTTCTAAACTGATCAGTGAAAAACAGGGGCGCCCTGAGAGGGCAAAGCCATCTCCAGATTTCAGTGCTGGCCGGGACACATGCGGTGCCTCACGTCTGGCACCAGGTACACACAGAGAGGGCACAAGTGCAGAGGTGCTGCAGATTGCCAGTGTCGGGTGAGGTGCCGGAAAAGCAGGATCCTGGAAACACCTGCCAGCCTTCCTGCGCCTGCAGAGGGGGAGCAGACGGAGCAACCAGAGCCTGACACCCTGCACGGGCAGCCGGGGAGGTCGGGGCTCCTCCGGCACCCGGGAGTGATGGAGCCTGATGGGAAGCCTGTGTGCGAGGGGAGGGGGCAGAGGAGGAGGTGGCTTCCTCCTGACGCCATTTCCGAGGGCTGAGATATATAAATGAGCCGGTTGCTGCAGTGCCCCATCTGGGATCTTCAGCCAGGGCACTGGCGTAGATACACACGCTCCGTGCTGGTCTCCCCCCGGCACCTCGCCTGGAGTCCCCACGCCACGACAGTCTCGCCCTCTGCCCCTTTCTCCCTGCCTCCATCCCGCCAGCACCATGAGCCGGCCAGAGCTGCTCGCCGTCCTGCTCCTGGCCGTGCCGGGTAAGTGGGGCTGGGATGGGTCCGTGTTCCCCGGGCCCCCGGCAGCGCCCGGCCCCGCTCCGCCCGCGCCGCCGGCACCGCGGACAGGGACGGCGCGGCCCGGCCCCTCAGCACCGCGGACAGCGGCCGCCGCAAGGTCACTGCCGAGCGCCGCGCGGGCCCGGCCGGCCCAGGCCCCTTCCCTTCCCTTCCCTTCCCTTCCCTTCCCTTCCCTTCCCTTCCCTTCCCTTCCCGACACAGTGCACACATCCAGCTGCTGCACCCAGGGACCACTTCCATCAGAGAGAGATGCCCCTCTTCTCCACTCCCGTTTTAGCAGAATAATGTTTCTCTGCTTGTGTTCCAGATGAGATGAATAACAAGTTCTCCTTTTTTTTCTCCCTCCCCTTACCTTACAGCCGTCTCCCTTCCTGTGACAAATGACATGAATAAAGGCGACACTAAGGTAAGGCTGAGCCTGTAGTGGAAGGGTCAAATGAAGAGAAAGGATGTGATGTTTCACCTCCACCTAGGTGGTTGGGTTTGGGCCACTCCTACTGAAATACCCTCTAGAAAGTGCCAGGAATTTGCATGAGATCCCTCAAGCAGGATCCATCTCTGCTCCCTTCCTAACAGAATTTACCCTTTGTGCATCCACTTCTGGGCATCCAAGGAAGTCCTTCAGGATGTGACAGCGGGATGAGGCAAGCCTGTTTAGAGAGGAGATGGAGGCTGGGTAAAACTCTCCTTAGTCCTCCTACTTTCAGCTTTTCAAAGCTCCCAACAGGAGGTGACTCAGGGGAGAGTGGGGGGGAAATGTGATTCAGGAACTGTGTGTGTTTGGAGGTGTATACATCTGAGTTTGTTTTCTACTTAAACATGCACGTTCTGGAAAAATAGGCAACTGGTACTCTCAGCTTGCTAATCCATCCTCAGCTCCTGCTCAGCCTGTCTGGATGGCTATGAGCAGTGCAGGACTTGGCTGACCTCTCCAGCCCTCCTTTACAGGCTTCTGTGCACATAACTGTGTCACACCCTCCAACATTTATAGCTGTGCTTCACAAACGTGCACTCCCAACAGCCTTTTGGCACCTAAATGCCTGGAAAGGGGGGTTTGCCTGTGTTAACCAATGTCAGACATGACTCGCTGAGCTCCCCCTCCCCCATCCTTCATATGAGCTGATCTCTTGGCTGCCCAAATTAAAATTTCTTTGGAAACTCATGTCCACAAAGGAAACTTCAGCATTTTTCCTTTTTACTTCTTGAACCATTTTGTGTTATGAAATCTTCTAGCCACATAATGTTTTTCTCCAGGCAGCAGCAGGGGAGGGCACGCTGATGCCAGTGTCAGGCACAGGCTCCACTGCAGGTTACCTGCAGCTATAAATGTTGGAGGGTGTGCCATGAGCAACACCTCCCTGTGTCCCGTGAGACGTGCCTGGGCTGAGAGCAGTTGCTTTGCTAAGACTTTTAGCCTGCTTAGCCCTTGCTGGGACAGAGCCATGAGCTGTGAGACACTGGGTGCCTTCCTCAGGTTGAGTGCTGCTGAGGAAGGGGATGCAGGACAGGCACTTAGCCCTTCAACTTTCCATGCCAGAGTGGGCATCTGATGGGAAAATCCATATGATTTTCCTTATGAGGTCTATTCCCCAATATATTCTGTGTGTAAAAAAGGTACTTTAGTGGCAGTTGGTGCAACTCTATGGAAATGCTTCCACCAGGAAAGGACTTTCCCAAAATTGCTCCCCTTCCCTGGGTATTACACTGATACAGGCTCTAACAGAGAGTAAAATCAGCTTTCTTTTGAATTTGCTGCAATTGGAAAAAGTCATTAGGGCTTTCCTGCTTTCATCATCCTCTGAGACACAGCATTTCAGGGAAGGAATTCCTGGTCTCATGGAACAGATTAGGGCAGGGATATCATCACATGAATACAGCAACAAGCACTGCAGCTCTTCCTACACACCGTGTTCTGTGCCACAGCATTTGTGGGTGGCATTTGTGTAATGGGTAGTCAGCACCTGCAGGCCTTTCCTGGACAGCTTGTCAGACTTTCCTTACACCAAGGGCTTTCCATAGGGAGCTGAACACGACCAAAGCATTTACAATGTCTCTGGTGTTTGCCCACTCTTGTGCTTGAAAGACCTCTTTCTCACTTACAACCATACATTTTAGAAGGGCATAGCTGAGCTCAAATATGGAGAAGTCTGTCCTTGCAAGGGCACAACCCTTTGGAGATTTCTGTGTAGGGACATTGTGAGCTGCTCTTAAGGATCTAGTTACATGCTCATGGTTAGATGATAGCAATGGCAAAATTCCAGTCTGAGTTTCTGAACTGGATTAATTACATTCATTTGGAAAGGATCTCCTCCATTTCCTGATGCAGGCTTTTGTTTCATGACCTTGTGAAGTCTCACTCTGCAAGACCTCCTCTAACAAAAAGACAGGGAGAGTGTTGTAGGATGACTGCACTCTTCATTTCATTACCTTACAAAGCTCCTCCACAGAGCTGAATGTATTTCTGTGGTGAGTGATGTGTCTCTTTGTGCTCAAAGACCTTAGATCAGCTTAGAAGTCTTGAAAAAGCTTGAATAGAATATTTCATTGAACCAGTCTTACTTCTCATGCTGAGAAAGTCTTAACTTCTGAAGCTGTATCAAATACTGCTACAGTAAGTGGGTCCAGAGGTTGGGAAACATGAGAGGGAAATATCAGAATCTGGAGGTTTTTCTATTTAAAAACAGAGTGACTCAAAATCATCTAAAATCAGTATTAATGGATCACTTGTGATATAAGAGAATTATACCAGGGAAATTCCCCTGTTTTCTTTTTTTTGCTTTAAATATTTTCTGTAGCATTTTTAATCCATTGGGCAATTCCCTCAAACTGTGTAAGGTGTAGAGTTCAACATTTTATGGCTGTGATCTGCAAAAGCAGAATTCTCTCCTTACACAGGGCGAGAATTTGCCCATTCCAGTTGTCCAGTGAATATATCCAGCTGCTTGAATGAACAGCATTGTGGATGACTGGGGACTGCTGACTTGTGTTTAATTTCTACTGCAGCCACAGTGCTCTGCTCTCCTGAGAATGGTACACTGTGAGGGAGGTCAGGGCTCTCAGGGCTGCCCATCAGGAGAAAGAGGTTCAGTGAGTGAATTTTTTCCCTCCAAGGCTTAACTTGTACTATTTTTTCTATTTAGCCTCTCTTTTTTCCCCACAGGCAATTGTGAGCCCTGCATTCTTCCTAGATTGCATTATAAAAAATCACCCTTTTGAAATAAGCAGCCTGATTCCTACACTACCAATCAGCACCAGACTGTAGTGAATGTTTCTGTCCTGTGTGATCATTTGGGTCTACCTGACCACACACCAGGACTCCCAGCAGTGTGTCTTGGCATGGCAAGGATGCCTACAATCTCAGTGCAGGTGACAAATTACATAAATAACACTCCTGGTTTTACACGAACAAAATGGGCTGCTGAAAGGGTGGGCCCAGAGCTCATCCTTTCTGAGAAGCTATGTCAGAACTTTGCTTTCAGGTGACCTGTCATCATGCAGAGCTCTTCCAGTCTATAACAGATGGCTTGAACACTCGAAGCACAAGGTCAAACACTTCTCCAGAGTGTCTTGTCCTTTCTATGGCTTGAGAGCAGTATTTCTCATCTGTGTTTGAAAGTATTTTGTCCTACCTCATCTTCCATGCCTGGCTTCAATCTAACTATGATGTCTTTCCAAGGCTTTGAAGAGCTTTTAAGATTTCAAGGTCATCTGTTGAACAGCTGTGACTACTTTTTGCTCTCTACATCTTCCCACTGAGTCCTTTTATGAGATGAAGGTTGAGATATATTGACTTAAAAGAGGATGATTTTGGATTTTCTGTGTGTATATTCAGATACCCTTTACTCCCCAGATGTGCTCAGACTCTGGTATGGTCTGAAGCCATGCAATCCTCAGCTGAATTGAGAGGAAGATATGGAAGATGCTCATGTGGAAGATGCTCTTTCCATTGTCACATGTAGTTTCCTCACTTCTCAGTTGCAGGAGGTACCTTCTGTTCCTGAGCTAGGGAAAACAAGAACTGAACATTCAGTTCCAGCTTGACCAGAAAAGCAAGATCTGTGCTATCACCTGCTGTACTTTAGCCTTGGTAACATGTAGAAACAAAAGACAAAAAAACAGTTCTTTAATTTGTAGTTTTGTCTCTTTCTAGGTGATGAAGTGCATTGTAGAGGTCATCTCTGATACTTTATCTAAGCCAAACCCCCTGCCGATCAGTGAGGAATGCCTAGAAACTCTCCGAGGAGGTACTGCCTCAGACTTAATGCTGGGTATCAGCAAAAGCAAATCTGGCAAGTAGGGGCTGGTCCTGCCCTGACCAACTGAGCCCTGGCTCTGGACTGCTGTCAAGGGGTCCCTGACATGTTCCCCTTGCTCCTCCACTGGGCTGTACTGGGCTCCAGGAGCAGGGATGGAGCCACTGCTTGTCCCAGGCCATGCCTCGTGCTGGCGCTGTGGCCACAGGGGTGCTGGGTGACATCAAACTGCCTGGTTCTCCTAGGACCTTCCTCCTGTCTTAATCACATGGTTAAGATGTGAGAGCAAATGAGACTAAGGGAAAGAAAAGAGCAAATGAAGAATTGTCATTTGGGGTTCTGTTTCATTTCCTGGGGTTGGGGGGAGGTTCGCTTTGACTGCTCTCTGTACTAAGTCTCCCCTATTGCAGATGAGCGAATTATTTCTATCCTTCGCCACCAAAACTTACTGAAGGAACTTCAGGAAATTGCTGCACAAGGTACAGTGCCAGTATATTTTTTTGGGAATGTAACTATAGGAAGATTGTTTTCTTCTGTTGTAGTCCCTTATAGAGTTTTAGTCTTTGGTTGGTTTTGTGTTCGGTTTTTTTATGTTATATTAATTTAAGATCATATAAATATACGCTAGGAAATGTAGTTCCAAGATTTTCAGCAGAGATTGTGTCAGTGGGGACAGGAATTTTGTTTATAATAACTGCAACATGTATCTGATAATTTCAATAGCTACCAATGTAGCTTGGTACTGATGTAGTCTCAAGACATTCTGAGGTGGGAGAACTCTAAAAGGAAACGCTGTAATTTAATTCAACAAATAATCACCAGCTCCCAAACTAGAATGAAAGGCAAGAAAACCTCCACTGTCTGTGAAGCTGGAGTCTAGCACTAAATCCAGGTGTGGCAGCAGGGAAGCCCCACTGAACAGTGAGTAAGATTTGCACCTTAAAGACCCCAATGAAAATATTCTTGAGCTAATGGGTATTTTTCAGATGGCTTCCTTAATTCAAGTGCAAGTTTCTTTGGTTTGGAGGGGTGCAGGTCAATTGCACTGGTTAATGTGGGAGCAGCAGCAGCACCATGGAGCTGTACCAAGGGGTATTGAAGGAAAAAAGGGACATTCTCAGGTGCCCAGTTGCCCAGAGCCAGCATGCAGCTCCCAGGCAAGGCTACTTCAGAGCCAGGCCAGATCTCTCTGTCCAGGTGAGGCTGCAACAGGGGTGTCCCCAGGCTGCAGGGAGAGCACCTCCTGACCTTCCTTACTCCTTCTGCCTGGGGTAACCAGGGGATCACCAGAGAAACAATGACTAGGGCATCCCTGTGCCCTGCTCCTGTGAGTCAAGTCTGCCAGACATGGATGGAAGGCAGTGACACCAGAATGCTTTCAGATTAAGGAAGCCACAGAGGCAAGAGGAAGGAGGAGAGGAAAAATTCAGGAAGTCAGAGTTGGGAAAGAGTCTTATGCAGCTCCCAAAGCCACATTTTAGTCACTACCCAAATGGTGGAGGGGCCAGATGCTCAGTGACCTCAGCTGGACTGCATGGATGCCCTGGCGATCCAGAAGAAAGAAGACATGGTCTCTTTGGTATGCTGGGATATGGCTGCCCAGGCACACCAGGGGTTTGAGGAGGAGCACTCAGATATCAGACAGGCTGTGCCACTCAGCATGGAGTCCACAAGAAGGAACTTGTTACAGGGAGGTACACCTTGCTCCACTCTTTCCTCAGCCTGAGCTCATCCCACCACTTAGTCCCAGGGTAACATGAGATCCAGCCTACAGATCACAGAGACTGGGCATGGAACAGTCTTGTAGACCAAGGGAAAAGCAAAGTTGTTAATCTTGGTGTCCTCTGTGCTGGTGCAGCTGGTTCTGCTCAGGCTGGAGAGCCCACACCATTCAGTTCTGGGCTAGAGAGGACTGGGCTGGCAGCACCGGCTCTTGCTCTTGCATTAAGGCACAGAAGCAGGGCATGAGCTGGTTTAGACAGGGCTTGTTTGACTTGCAGATCCCATTGCTGGTTGCCAGGACAGCTGCAGCCTAACCTCCATCTCATGCTGCCTTCAGACACCTCTCTCCAGGGTGTTGTATTTTTCTAGCAGGCTCCATAATCCCAGAGCTAAGGTGTGGGGCCTTGGAGCCCCAGACTACCCCTGCAGTGAGAACGAATGCTGCTTCTTCCTCCCAGCACACAGGGGAGAGGGGCCCCACAACCAGGCTGGAGGATACAGGAGCTCTCAGTGCTCACCTCAGCAGAGGTGCATAGGCAGAATCTGGCAGAAGGCAATTTTTATCTTTCAGCACTCTGGTGATGAAGTCTTTTGTTGCCCTCAGTGTGGTGCAGTTCAGCACCTCTTATTCCCTAGATTTCCATCAATATTAGTTTTACTGGCAACCCTGCATCTCTATTTTGAGACCATTTTCTTTCCTGCAGATGATGTTTTTGATTGTGGTTTTGTTACTGCAGTTGATTCACATACCCTCCAGTCTCACTCCTCCCAGCTCCCAGGTAGATTTCTCCACTGTAGCAAACATAAGGGGCACAGAACTATTTTCCTACCTCTACTTTCTAAAACATAGACGGGACTGTTGCCTTTCCCTACCTTTTGTTACTTGACACAGGTGCCAATGAGAGAACTCAGCAGCAGAAGAAAAACAGCGGCTTTGAAGATGAACTTTCTGAAGTCCTTGAAAGTCAGAACAACAAGAACAAGCAGAGAGGTCAGTGTCAGCCTCCACCCCCGGGAAATTCAGGTCAGGCTGTAAACAAGGATCTTCTTCCAAACAGCCTTGATATGTCCATCTGCTTCTCTTCTTTGATGCTGCTGCTGACACACACAAGCTACCTGGTGTTTGCTTTGTTCTTATTTACCAGCTCAAACAACACGTAGTCTCTGAGCTATAGTAACTGGTCATGGTCAAGTTACTAAAGTGATACTGACTTTTCCACCCTGCTGCTGACACTTTCACTCACTTATAACACTTAAAATAAGTCACAGCCAGGGAAATCCTACACTGAAAGAGTCAGTGAAACAGGCAAGGGTGATGTGGGTTTTTGCCTGTCACCCCTGTTTTCAGGCATCTCAGATATTAAGTCATGCATCTCTGAAAGGAAAATTGAAACACACACAATGCACACACGCACAGAAAACACCTGTATCTTGGAAAGATCACCTTCAGCTGGGATCTCCCCTTGCCAGTATTTCTCTGGCCTTACTACAGACAGGCAGGCTGGCAGAAAGGACAGTTGCCCCTTCCCTTTTCCTTGTCAGGATGATACAATGCAAATGTGGGGTGATGTGACTCCTCATCCAGCAGCAGCTGGGTGCCCACAGAGGGTCTCAAGCAGCTCTGGGGCACATGGCTGGCCCACAGCAGCACAGCACTGCTGTGACACCAGTCCAAAACTACTTAGAGCAATGAGGAGTGACACCCCCAGGGGCTGCTGCTGCTGCAGCCAGCACCACAGGCAGGTTGGTGGCACTGCATCTCCCTATTGACAAGACACACCTGAAACTCTTGCTCCAGCAGCATGGAGATGAAGGAAGATTATGTGGATGAAATGTGGCACGTGGGCCAACCAGGCCCACTGACAGTCTGATGACACCAGCACAGTGTCACAGGTGCCACCAGCCTTGTGTGACCAGCTCTCTGCGTCCTTTCATTCTGGCGCACTCCTCAGCCCTCCTTGGGGCTGCACTTACCTTTCCTTTTTTTTTTTGCAAAGTGTTTTCTCTGGTTAATAGTGTTAAAAGAGGCTAGTCTCCCTTGAGCAAGAGCAAATACTCAGCCCACATTAAGCTCCTGCTGAGTAGTTACTTTGCAGAAGCAGAGATCCCCCTCCTCCCTCCAGCACCCTGTGAACAGGGCTGGCTGCCTCTTCAGCCTGGTGGGAGAAATAAGGATGTGATGTGAGTGCAGCACTCAAAGCAGGGAGAGCTGTCCAAATGCCATATTACACTCCTAAATAATTTAATTTTACATGCAGTCTGGTTTCATGCAGGGTGAATTCGTGGCTGGCATCTCAAGAGATGGTGATGAGGACTGTGCTGCAGCAAAACACTTCAGCATATGTTTAACTTCAGCCTTGCAAGTCTCTCCAGGAGCACAGGCACCAGAGAATGCTGCCTTGCTTGAATGCAAACATATGCTGAAGTGACTTGCAAAAGGATCCACGGGCTGGCTAAGCAGATTGCTGAGCGGGGCTGAAGCTCCCTAAGAAAAGCTTGGCCTCTGCTGGTTGTGAAATGAGCTCTCAGCAGAGGTGTTTCTTCTTGTCTCTCCCTCTGTAGATGTTGCAGGGGAGCGCCCTGAAGAGGAGCAGCCCACAGGGTCCCTGGCTGAGCTGGCAGCAGAGAAGCCCCAGCAAAATGAAGACTCAAGAGAGGAGGAAAAAAGCCTGGAGGAGAGGGAACCCAGGCCATGGGATACCAACCCTGTTGAGAAAGAGGACCGAGAGGAAGCTGAGAGCAATGACATCAGGGATACAGAGGATACCCATCGAAACAAAGTTTTGGACAACCACATTGGCAAAAATTTCAGTGAGGATGAGCAGCAGCAAGGGGATGAAGAGGAGGAGCCCAGAGGCTCCAGGGACAGCCTGGAGCTTGAGGATGAGGGAGAAGAGCCATCCAGGCAGGGTCAGAAGCACAGCAAGGAGGTAGCAGGGGAGCGTGTGGAGCGGGAGGACGACGGAGAAGAAGCTGCAGAGGAGGACCCGACTGAAGCAGAGAGGTCACTCGATTTGGCTGAGGAGGACGAGGAGGCTGAGGAGATGCAGGGAGGTGACAGTACGTATCCCAGACTGCACTGACACCTTCCTGGGGTGAGCTGAGGGCACTGAGACACATGGGTGAGAGGCTTCAAAGCCAAAAAGCTGAGGCAGGTGTTCACTGGGTTTACAGAAACACACTGGCCAGCAGCCACCCAGAGCCCAACACAAACATCTGACACACAGGCCCTGCAGCTGCCTTTCTGCTCAGCTCTCATAGATCCTGGGGACAAGTCACTCATCTTCCCTAAGCTTCCTACAGGGGTTTTGACTGCTGCCTTCAAACCCCATTACTGACATGGCAATGTGACAGTGGGTATTTCCAGAATCGTGGGAAAGCAGGCCTAAGTCAAGAAATCTGGCATCACCACTGAGGGCTCAGTTCAAAGGTGGACCTTAAACAGGTTAACAGTTGTGTTCACTGCTTTGTTTAATGCTCTTTCAGATAACGATGATGAGCTGGGATTTGGAAAAGATGTGCAGAGCTCTGAAGAGGAGGAGGAAGAGGAGGAGGAGGAGCAGCCCCGGGCACTGAGAGGAGGAAGGCATCGCCTGGATGAAGAGGAGATGCAGGGAGAAGAGGACACCTTTCAGCCCAGGGATGCCAAAAGTGATGAGATGGAGGAGGAGTCCTCCAGGGAGTGGGAAGACACCAAGAGGTGGAACAAAATGGATGAGCTGGCCAAGCAGCTGACATCAAAGAAGCGCATGGAGGAAAATGATAGTGAGGAAGACCCAGACAGGTCCATGAAAAAAACATTTAGGTCCCGCAAGTATGCCCTCAGTAGTCCAGAGGAAGATGCGAGAAGGTCATGGAAGCATCACTCAAAGGAAGACAGCAGTGAAGGAGGCTTTCCACTTGCTCCCATGCCTGAAGAAAAGAAGGATGAGGAAGGCAGTGCTAACAGGAGAACAGAGGTTGGTGTACACAGGCTTAGAGAATAAATCCCACCCAGTTATCCAAAGTATGCTTGGTTATGTGGATGGTATACTGGCATTAACGTAGCCAGCAGTGGTCCTCTGAGGCATTAAGTTGATGCTTAGTGAACTTCCAGTCATTCAGCCTTAGGTATTATTGAAGTTTGCACCTGCTGTTTTTGTCCTAGCGGTCCCAGCACAAAAGCATTCCCGGCCCCCCAGAGTCATGTGTCCAGTGACAGCACTTCTGCACTGGCCAGACATAGTGACCAGGGCTGTAGCTGGAACCTAGGGGTAGTCCTTGTGTCCCAAAGCCCTTCCAAGTCAAAAGGAATGCTTTCCCTGCCTCAGGGATGGAGTGAGTAATGTCAGACCTCCTACAGAGGTAAATCAGGGTTGCAGCTGTGGTGGGAAACCTGAGGTATTTGAGTGGAAATGGAGGATACATACAGAAATACATCTGAGCCAGGCTTCCAGAGTCAGAGACCTTCTTCCCTGATACCTTGAGTGATGCTAGGTAGTAGCTCAGCACATCCCCAGCAGCCAGGAACTGCTGGTGGGTTCACCTTTGTGCTAAGGCCCAGCTCCAGGCACAGCTGATTTGGGATCATACAGGGAACTGGGCAGTGGGGCTTGGCTTGGGCTTTGTGAGCCTGGGACAGGCCATGATCGGGTGTGGAACAGGCTGGGCCAGCAGGTGAGTGAAGCCAGTTGGCTCTCTTGCCTTCAAAGCACCCCTCTTGCCTCAGTTACGTGCCAAACCACTGGCCAAAAATTGCCCATCAGCATCCCCCCCATGAGAGCATCTCCAGTTGTATTGGTTCAAAGCAAAGCCAAATGTCTCAGCTCACAGCAGGGGCACAGTGGGGTGGGCTGTCCCCTCTGCCTCCCACCCCTGTCTGCTCACATCCCACATCTCTCCCCCCGGGAGCCTGCTCCCCACCTGCCCCTGCAAGTGGCTCTGGGGTGCACCTTGTCTGCAAGGTGGCGGACTCAGTCTCCAAATGGGGATTGGAAAGGAGGTTGCTGAGGCTGCAAAACTGCTGTATTTGCAGCTGCAACAAGACTTTTTTGTTTGGTTGGCTTTTCAAAATAGACCAAGGCCTCTGGGAGTCAGAGAGTAAGGCCAGGCACACAGGAGTGAGGGAAGGCACAAGCTCTGGCTGCTGGCCTGTCCCTCTCTTCATTTTTGGGTCATGGGGCTGTGTGGCTTGGCCAGTGAGGCCAGCATGGGTACAGAGAGGGGCTGAGAGTGCTGTCCCCTGCACTTTCCAGGGCTCAGCATGTGGGACCAGGCAGACGCAAGCCAGAGCACACAGGCAATGGTTTGGGTCTGACCAAGCTCTCTCTGGATGCTGTAGATAATTTCAGAACCTATTTCTCTCCCTTTCTGGGGGCTCCAGTTGCAGCCCAAGTGCTCCTCCAGTGATGTGAGCCTCAGCCAGCTGCTCCCTGACCCACTTCAAACAAAATAAACAGCTGCTTGGCACCCAGGATGTTTGAAGGCACCCTGAGCTGCTGGCACCCTACTGCAGCCAGAGCTTTCCCAGGGGCTGAGTCAAGGGCTCAGTGGACGGGCAGGGTGACTTTTTTTCCGTGTTCAGGAAAATAGCTCAGGAGGAGAAAACAAACCCCTTTTTTCATACATCCTTTACTTTTCTCACACCAGCCACATGCAGTGCAGTGGCTCAGGGTCAAACTGTGATTTGCAGCTGCTGAAGGCAAGAGCAAGGCTTTGCTCCCTCCACACAGGAGAGGGGCTGTCACCTCGGCTCTGCCAGTGGGAAAAGATACAGCACCAAGTTTGCTCACACAGAGCCTGCTGCTGCTACGCTGCTTTCACGGTCTGCAGAGAACCCAGGCGACCACAGCTGTGAGGGACAGGCAGGGCTCGGGCTGGCAGCAAGGCAGGGCCACCTGGATATGGCCTGAGCTCAGGCAAAGCCACACAGTCAGGCATCTGCGTACCTGCACTAAATAAAGCAGCTACAGCTGACACCACAGATACACAAGAGCTGGTATAGAAAGACCACCGAGTGATGGGCAGCTTGAGCCTTTGAACTGATGGTTTCCTCAGCCATTATGTTCCCAGGACAAGTATCTTCTGCTAGTGGAGGTGCAAGCAAAGAGCCAGCGCAGGGTGGGGAGAGGGCAGGGCCCCTGCTGCACTTCCCGAAGGGGACAGCAGCGGTGCCGTGCCGGTGTGACGGCTCTGACAGTGCTGGCACCCCGTGCTGCCCGGCAGAGCCTGCCCTGCCTCCCCGCAGCCAGCTCCCCGCAGCCCCATGTTCTGGAGGCACAGCCCCGCTGGCGCCAGGGTGCGGGGGAAGGATGGCAGCTGCACCACCAGCAGCAGTAGTTAAACATTAGGGCAGAAGTAATCACTGTTGTGCACAGTAATCTGTCCAGAGACAAATGCGGGCTGAAGGGATGGGGCGGGACAAGGCTGTGCTCGTGCCCCAGGCGGCTCTGGGGGGCGAGGGCTACCCACCTGCGGCCACTGACAGTCCTGGCCTTTCGTTGCAGGACCAGGAGCTGGAGAGCCTGGCCGCCATCGAGGCCGAGCTGGAGCGCGTGGCCCACAAGCTGCACGAGCTGAGGCGAGGCTGAGGGCGCGGCGCTGCCCGTGCCGGCGGCAGCAGCGCCGCCACCCTCCTCCCTGCTCCCTCCGTCCCACCGCGCGTCCATCCCCTGATCTAAGAGCAGTTAAGCCGAGCAGAAGCACCGTGCCTAGGAACCGACCCCGCTAGCCCCAGGCCTGCCTCCCTCGCCATAGTGTTGTGCCCATCGCCGCTGCCTCACCTCATGCTGCCCTCTCCACACGGATGTCCACACGCCCGGCAGGGCGCCTGTGGGTGCGAAGTGCAACCTACATCTGTATTTTCTGTCTGGGTGGGGTTTTCTCCCTCTTTTTTTAAAAAGACAGGACAGCTTTCTAGAAAGTTCTTTCACTGGTAGTTTCACTGGGTAAAAAACTGCAATAACTTGTTATCTTTTGATTAAAAGCTGAGAACTCTGACTGTAATATATTCTATATAAAAATTTATCTAAAGAAAAATAAACTGCAGTGGGTTCCTTCCTTCATTTTGGCAGCTTCAGTGTCAGTTGTCAGCACGCTGCAGGGCCTGGGCAGTCCTGCAGAGGGGGGGACGGAGGGCTCCCCTCACCACAGACACACCGTGATGGCACTTCCCTCCTCACCTGGGCTCCAGCGCTGCTGTCCTCCGGGGCCTGCCACCGGGGACACTTCCCTGTGGTCCCAAGCACCGTGGGGCTCTCCCTGCTCACCCGGGTGCCACACTGCTCTCCCCCTGGCACTGGGTGGCTGGGTCCTTCAGTGCGGCTTGGGTCACACCTGAGGCTCATCGATGAACACAGAGAGAACACAGTTAAAAGTTTAAACACTGGGCAATACTTGACCAAGTCAAGCCACGTGGCCAACACATGAGTAGATTAGAAAGAAGTGACAAATAGGCCAGTCAGGAGGAGAACTATTGGTCTGTGGTCCCCAGAGGTGAAGGACCATCCCAAGGAGATGTCCCTCCTGTACCCTGGCTCACAGGAGCAATGGTGGCCAGCTGGCACTGTGCTTACCTTTCCATCCTTTGGAAAGGCAGAACCTTTCCATCCTTTGGGCTTCAGACCACAGAGCAGCTGGAGGACCAAGGGGTGCCTGGTTTAGGGAAGCTGGCCCCAAAATCTCTAAGCACTGATCATATTTTAGATGTTCTATGTGCATTGGCAGGAGAGGGAAAGATCCACCCAGTGCCAGGGCTGTATTCCAGACCCCCCAATCCAAAGCTCAGTTCTCTCCCATCACCTGCAGCCTACAGAACAGCTGAGATGCTCAGGGAATGGCTGCCAGGCTTTGAACTCGGCTTATTTATTCTGCAAAAACCCTCAGTACTGCTGGCCTGTGCAGTGTATTACAGGGTGTGTGTGGGTTCCCTGGCTCAGGAGGTGCGTGGTCCCAGAGCTATTCCTCACACACAGGATGAGCTTCCCAGGGAGGAGCAGGAGCTGCTGAGTGGGCACTGCCCCCATTCCTCAGCCCTGGGCAGGCACTCAATGGCAAGAGGTGGTGTTGAGGCCAAGGCACAGCCCAAAAATTGCCCTGGCACAGGGCACAATCCATGCAAGAGCCTGGCTGGGGAGAGTGCACTGGAGCAAGTTGTGAGTCTTTCAGCTCTCTCCTGAGGAGATCCCACTCTCTTTAACCTTAGGGAAACATAGAGGAACCAAAGTGAAACTAAAGGTGTTGCACAGAAACAGTACTAAAATGTCAATTAGGGAGTTACCCCACCTGAAGAAATCACATTTTACATATTGATCTTCACCTAAATTTTAATTTCAATACTGTATTTTTAATCTGAATATTGTATATTGTAAGTACATTGTATTTATAGCTGGTACAGCTTCCCCAGGGAAATGGTCAGCACCAAGCCTGACAGAGTACAAGAAGCATTTGGACAATCAGGCACATGGTGCGATTCTTGGGGTGTCTTGTGCAGGGCCAGGGGTTGGACTTGATGATCCTGATGGGTGCCCTCCAACTTGACATATTCTATGATTCAGTTTCTTCCATTTATTTTTGTAACAGAGTCTATGCCAGTAGCAGCACTCATACAACTCCTTGCAAACTCAGGCCTACTTGTCACAATAAGTTCACAGAAACCCTCAGACCCCCACCACAACAAAACAAACAAAAAATCCCCACCAAACAAAAAAAAAAACCAATCCCAAACTCAAGAAACCAAACAACCCCCACAGAAATGCAGCCATGTCCAAAGGAGTTAGACAAGTTTTTTCACTAAGGATGGCAGCAGCAGACAGAAATTCCTGTCTGCATCCATACCTCACGCAAAATCAACAAGAGGAAAAATATTGTTACTTGATGCAGCTACTCTAAATACTGTCTTAATTGGATATTCAAGTAATCACAAATATTTGTGACTCAAGGACTTTCTTCAGATGGAAAGACGGTGTTCAAGGCCTGAGTATGGGGCTGCACACACAAAGGATGTGAACATTGAATTCCCATGAAGACAGGCCTCCCCCATGAGCTGCTCACCTCGCTGTCCTATCCACTCAGAAAGAGGAAACAACTAGAACTTGTTATAAGGCATTTATTTTCATTATGTGTTGGAAAGGGACAATCCTCTCTTCAAAACAATTACAGAGATAATGCCACAATACCTACTGCATATTGCTTTACTGTTGAAATCAAAACAATTGTCCAAAACAGATGCTTGGCAAACAAAAAGAAAATTAATATATTACCATTGAAATGAATGCTGTTAGATGAAAGCACCATCTCCATTGTCTGATCTGATCAGTCATGCAATTGAAGATGCCAAATAGCAAGTATTTTGGGTTTTACAGTAAGCCATGATCTTTTAAGGGTTGATATAATTCTATACAAATTTAAGTACAAAATGGGAATTATGTTTCAGAAGTCATAGTGAACCAGGCTGAAGCGAATCACAAGACACACTTGTTAACACTGTACAGCTGGATTTGAACACAGATACCAGAGAACTTGCGAAACTGAGCACACGCACACAGTGGTCCCCGAGATTCAGCCGTGCCTGGGGGGAAGCAGTGCTGGAGACTGAAGGACAATATCCAACACTACTCACACCCAGAGGGCCAAGTCTCTCACAACTGTTGGGATCCCAAGGAATTGTTGTTACTCCATTTTAAGAACGACAGTGTTTTTAGTATGTGGTTGTCACGAGGGTATACACAAGCTGTATCAAATACTGAATCAGAAATAAATAATAAAAGATACATCTAACACATCTTTTATTTTTTAATATTTTTTTACAGCACTGACTTTACAAGAGGATAAACAACTCATTATAGGGGCTGCTAACATCTGAAACAAAGAAGTCACTATTTTATACTCAACATGTTCCCAACACTTAATAACTTTATATATGTATATATGACTTTTCACACACACAAAAAAAGAGAAGTTAAAATAATTTATATCTAAAACTACTGTGTAAAGAATGAAGGAGGAAATAAAATGTGGGTTTCTTTAAAAATGCTGGAAGAGGAAGACCTGATTTTCATGAACCCCATTTGCTGTTTCAGCTATTTCTGGAGTTTCAAGAGATTTCCTGGCCATCAACAAAAACTTCCCAACACATCGGGAGCCCACTGCAAACTCATGACATGCTGGGTAAGTTCACCTGCTAATGAACCCATGTGGGTCACAGGCATCTGTGATCATCAGTCCCAGTGGATTCAGGGTAAGAGTGATGGAGAGGAAGAAAACATCACCCCAGAATGCTATTAAAAACCACAGAGTGAAATTCTGGACAATTGGTATAATGATGTCTTCTGGCTAGGATTTTACTCCCAAGCCCTACTCTCCTTGCCTTCCTTCTGCATCACAGATAAAGGATGTTTATCTCTCAGATTTTGTTACTTCCACAGGAAAGCTGCCCCAAGAGCAGAGTGGACCAGACCCCAAGAGCCACCTGCACACATAAGAGCAAAAACAATTTCCTTTGCTTGCTACAAATGCTACTGTGCTTGTGTTGCTGAGGAATCACTCCATTTATGTCTGGATCCTCCCAAACTTCAACCATCTCAAGTAACTTTTGTGGCCACGTAAATGTGACAGAGTCCATGAAACCCATTCAGTCAAAAGCTCAAGTGTTGATGGCCTGGATCCACACAGGGTGAAGAGTGAAAGGAAAGTAGTAAAGATGTGGAAAGTACTTTGTCTGGAGGTTACATTCCTCTGAAACAGATATTAAAGCAATATTACAAATAAAATCAGCAATGTGATCTGCAATGGCATGTCCATTTTTCTATGAAAGCGAGAGGAGATTATATTAAAGGAAATATTTTAATCTACACAAAGCATTTTCACATATTCCTAATTACAAAACACACACCATAAAGTAATTGTATACTGAATACAGAAATCAATACATCTCTTACTAAAAAGGAGAGGGGAAAAAATTAGCAGGGTAATGCAAGTGAACTCCCGCAAGTGTGTGCATGGGGAGACTGCTACAAACTCAGACTCTGTTCACTAAAAAAAACAAAATCCGAGATTTTCTGCACAGCTGTGGAAGGCAAGGCTACAAGCTTGTGTGGAAAAGCCTGAATCACTTGTCACTGCTGCCATGCAAAGACTTGAGGAAATCAGTGTTAGTCTAAGAACTGAGAAGTCTGGATTTTTTAAATTGGATAAAAGAAAACAGAAGCATTTTTCCTGTTTTGCTCTTTTTTTGCCAGACAATTCAAACACCTCTGACCCCATTTATCCTGTTGCCTTTGGACTGTGTTCTGCCTCTGTTATCTAACCACAGCTCCACCTGGTTGTTGCCTGGCTGGATACTGCCCACAGTTCATCTAGAAAACTTGAGGCTTTGTCTTGAGCAATTCTCATTATCTCCTGATGCCTCTGGGTTGGGTTCTTAGATGTAACCATCTACAATGAGAAAAAAATTAAACTGGTGGATTTCTGTCTGTGCAACCTGCTGCACACACATTCCCACAATGATGAGGGAGATCTTTAATCAGCTTTAACATTACAACAGTCTGAAATGTAATAATGAATTTATGCTACCTACTGACCAGCCCAGTTGATCAGTTCCTCAGCACAAAGATTGTACAGCCAGACTTCAACCAAAGGCAAAACATCACTGGCCCAGTGCTTCTGCATTACACAAACCACAAGAGCTAGCACTGATGCTGATGGTTTGGTTGCATTTCTGCAGTTGGCTTTAACATAATGATCAGGATGTTCTGGCACAGGCTACAAAGTCAGGCACAACGTGGCCAAGTCAGGTAGAAGAGGAAGAGGGTGACTTTACAGCACAGGCAGCAGTAATACCATTCAAGTTCTCTTCAACAGGGAAAGATGTTCACCTGTTGAAGCTAATTACATAATTACAGTGGAAACCAGAGTCTCATCTCCACCATGCTGACACAAAACCTGGAGAAATTCCAGTCAAGCTAATGGTATTCTCATGGATTTCAAACAGTGAAGAAGAACAGTAATAAATCCCTAAAAAGCTACCTGGTGACCATGTAATTT